TATATAGTTCCTGGGGCGTGGTTTTTGCCTAGTAAATATTAGCTACCTGGAAAGCTTAAGTATTTGAAGACAAAAGGCTTTTATTCCTGAGGTGGTGGGTGTACCCAGCACCAGGTCAGAAGAGGTTGGCAGTGACCCAGCCCAGGCTCTGCGGGGAGGAGGCACTGTAGTGGTGGCAAAGGGCTGGTATAGCTAGTGGGTGAGGGTACAGGCTTTGCAGCCATACTGCCTGGATTCAAAACTCCATCTCCACCTGTCATTAACTATGATGTCAGGCAAAACACTTAATAACCTTCTGTAGATCTCAATTTCCCACTCTGTAAAATGAGAAAAATAATAATACCAGCCTCACAGGGTTATCATGAGGATTAACTGACTCCTACATAAAGCACTTAGAACACTGCCTGGAACATTAGTCTGTGTTGGCCATTATCATCTGCATTATTTGGGTCTGTCCAGAGTCCTCCTCATCCATACCCAGTTACAACATTAACAATACTAACATCAGCAGCCACTGTTTATTGGTCTCTCACTTATACATTCTCTCATTGAAACCACAACACCATCCTCACCTTATATAGGTGGAGAAACTGAGGCTCAGGAATTCTGGGTAAGCCACCTAAGATCACACTTGATAGAGCCAGAATTTGAACTCAGGTCACTCTGACTCCACAGTCGACGCTTTTGGCCATTTACTAAGTTGCACTTAAGGAGCATCACTGAACTTTTATGGGGACTGTGGGAGAGGTGGACACCCAATATATAAACTCTTGTAAGGCAAATAAACCTTGAGACAGTGGCCTGGCAAACACTGTACATCATCCAGCGTGCTAGGAGTGTTCTACGAGTGGCTGAGGCTGAGGAGCTGGAAAGACTTTATGAAGGGAGAGATCTGGCCTGGCCCTGAGAACTAGGTAGGGTTTGGACTAGTTCCTTGAGAGGGGTGTAGTTCAGGTAGGGGCAAAGGTGTGGAGGTGGGGCTGGGCAGGGCCCTATGGGACCTCGGTCAGGGCAGTGCGGGGGAGTGAGGGGTGTCAGGGCAGGTAAGTGGCTGGCCAGCCTCCAAGTGGAATTCAAGCACAAAGCAGAGGCTGAGGCCCAAACCAGGACCTAAGCTCCTTCCTTTTCCTGTTGCCAGATTTCCTTTTCTCAGGGACCCAAAGGACTTGAGCTCTCAACTAGAAACTATTGTGCCTGCCCCTCAAAATCCCAGAATTTGGAGACCCAAGGAAATAACAGATTCCCCTGCTAGGACTTAGCCAAGAACAGGGGTCAAAGAAAGTGAGTGGGGGCCCTTTAACCCTACTTTATTGGTTTACTCTCCTCTCAGGGTACACACCGACAGGGCAGCTGGTTTCCGGGGCACACCAGCAGGCTGTGGAGTGGGACCCAATCCTGACACTCTCTCCTTCTAAAACCAAATCCAACCCACCATCAGAAATGAAAGTCTTATCGATGGTGTCCTAGGAATTTAAAAGGCAAGTTCCTTAGTAGAGCAAGACTTCCTAAAAATTCTACCTCCCATCTCAGCAATTTCCCTGTAGGAATAGTTTTCCTGAGGCCTCAGCTTCACTGTCCCTCTCCAACTCATAGCCTCCTCTCTGCTCCCCTAGCCACTCCTTCCTTCCTGGTCCTCAAACTCCCAGTCAGCCTACAGCCTTCACACACATATACACTGAGTGCCATCAGCAGGACTGGCTACATAATTTGCTGGGCCTGATGTACAATGTAAATGCGGGCTTTTGATTCAGGAATTATGAAGAATTTCAAGACATTGACAACAGAACATTAAATCAAGTTCTGGGCCCTTCTAAGCATAGAACCCTGTCAACTGCAAGAGTCACATGCCCATAAAGCTGACCCCAGCCCTTAGTGCATGCCCCAGGTGGATTAGAATGTCAAGTTTTCATGAATTTTGAAGTTAAAGTCTGAGATTCCCCACTACCATCACCACACACACATACAAAAAAACCCCACATATTTTGAGGATAGCTTTTCTGGACTATTCCCACCCCCACTCTCAACCATTCACTTTCCATGCTACACTTGGCCCACAATAGAAAAATATGAGGTCTTATATTTGAACTGATCATACCTTTTGCAAAGGGCTTTCACGTGTTCTTTATGAGAGAGAAATCACCATCTCATTTTACAGTTAGGCAAAATGAGATCCAGAAACTCTCCACCTTGCTGGCCAGTAGCATATGTGGCACTAAAACTCTGGCCTCCAGACCCACTCAGCCTGCAGCCATTTCCACCAAAAAAGAATCCAGACACCATCTGATGTGAATGCACAAGAGATGCAAACATCAACACTGAAGGAGTTTATATTATTTATAGTGTAACAGAAATTTCTCATGTTGAAACAGCCTCACCCAACTCCAGACAAATACTAGGCCCGAACAGACCACTGTCAGTGGACTGCTGATGAAAAAGCAGGAAGCGTCTTCATCTTTTTCTGACTCACCACATTCAGTGCTCCGCAAACCATAGACCAAAGAAGAAAAACATTGGCACATTGCTTTGAAGTAATCTCCAAGCTTGATTTGGATTTCACCTGTTTTTCCACTAATGTCCTTTTTCTGTTCCAAGAGTCCATTCAGGGAAGCGCATAGCCTTTAGCTGCCATGTCTCTCCTCTAATCTGCGACAGTTTCTCCTTGTGTTTATGACTTGGATGGTCTTGAGGAGGACTGGCAGGTATTCTGTAGAATATCTCCCAGACTAGGTTCATTTGTTGGTTTTCTCCTAATAAGACTGGGTTATAGATTTTCAGAGCAAACACCACAGGGTAAAGTGCCCTTCTTATTACATCTGTGATACCCACATGACACCGGTGGTGAGGTTCACTTTGAACAGGTGGTGTCTGTTCGACTTTTCTGCTACACTGTGAAGTTACTATTTTTCACTTGCCAAGCTCTGCTCTTTGGAAGTGAGCCAATAAGTCTAAGCTACCCTCAAGTTGGGGAGGGCAAGGACTAGGCTCTCTCTCCAGTAGGAAATCTTAACTTTTAAAATGTTAATTTAATTAACTTTTTAAAAAAATCTATGCTCATGGTTTAAAACGCAAAGAATACAGGTGAAAAGCCTCTCCCCATCTGTGTCTCTGAAAATAACAATGTTACCATTTTCTTATGACCCATTCCAGAAATATTTTATGCACAAAGGTAGCACACTGCCTGCACTGTTATGTAGCCAACCACAGGGTTGCTTGGGCTAGAGAGACCCTATAAATCACCCAATTGTCTGACCATGATCGATGGTTAAGTAAATTACATTACGATATAGCAAAGGCTTGGCCACAGCCACCAACAGTTACACAAATAAATAGAACCTGGTATCATGGAAAAATAATATGTCAAAAGAAAATAAAGTCGAGTGCCCAGTACATATGATTTTTACTGGGTGGACGCTATTTTTCAGGAGGATAAATTTCAGAAGAGGTTACAGGAAACTGTAAATTCCTGAGGTAAATGAAAGACTTGAGTATAATGTTTTGCTAAATATAGAAGGAAAATAAAAAGACGAGGCTCCGAGCTTTTGGGGAATGTAATCTTAAGGACCCTGACGCCAACCATGGGCAGGTGGCAAGACTCTTGTCACTCTTTTCCTGGTCAGGGAGGTATGGGCTGTTTGATTTCCTAGAATCTGTCCTGCTGGAATGAGGGTGTTTGTAGTTAAATGGATTGTGGAAATAAGAGTAGAGCAAACACCCCACCTAGGGCAGGGACAGGATGTAGATTCTTTAGGCTTGAACCTGTGACTGCCCCACGCCCCACCACTACCCATAGCCTAGAGGATGAAGTGCTGCCCTTTAGCCTGGTACCTGTTCCTTCATTCACCCATTTATCCATCTATTCATTTATCCATCCATCCATCCATCCATCCATCCATCCATCCATCCATCCATCCATCCACTTGTTTCTTTATTCACCAGCATTTATTGTATAGCTGACCCTGTGTCAGGTGCAGGGGTACAGCTGTAGCTGAGGTGGACACAGGCCCCTCTTCATGGAGTGTACATTCCCAGTGTGGGGAATGTAACTAAATCTTGGGGCATTTCAAGAACACAGAAGAGGGGACTAAGCCAGTCTGAGGCAGGGCCACCTCATGTAGGTGATGACAATCAACCCCCAAACCAGGCTTTGGGGGCTGAAGGGAGAAAAGGGACACTCAGGCGAAGGGGATAAGAAAAGGCCTGAGTGTTCTACATGAACTAACTTGTTTAGTCATCACAATTCTGTCAGGTGGGCTGACTATTGTGACTATTACAGTCAACCTATTTACCAAGAGAAAGGTATTGGAGGCTCAGAGAGGTGAGGTAACTTGCCTAAGGTCACAGAGCTGCTGAATGGCAGAGCTGGAATTGGAACCCAGCCTGCCTGGCTCTTAACTATAGGCTCTCTGGGATCAGGGAGACTAACAGGTAACACTGAATTCTTTTCTTCCACTCTCTGAGAATGGATGAGGTCATACCTACAGGTCATGGGGCAAAGGGTAGGGGCCAAGGTTAGAGCAGCACCTCAAAACAGGCCTCTTTTTGGAACCTCGAATGAGATCAAGATCTGTCCCAAATCCCAGGCTCTGAGCAGCTGGCCACATTTTGTCCGCTCATCTATTTCAGGGTTTAGAGAAGAGGAAGGACTGGGAAGATGTTGGGGATGCAGTGTCCCAGATGTTCAAACCAACCCCGTTCCCAAGGGCCCCAGTCCCTTCCGTGAGCTACCTGCCAGTGCTCTGAAATGGGAAACAATCTTTACCACTCAGCACTGGCGGGAGATGCATTTAAGGTCTCAGGTTACAGCTGCTGCAGAGTAGCTGGCCTTTCCCCGTCTCCCAAGACTTCTCCCCACTTTTCTTTTTGTGTCACCCCCACAATTTAAGCATTATGCATGCCCGAAATATCTCAGAAAGCCACAACAGCCCTGCCCTCTATCCAGGACTACACGACCTCTTGGCTCAAATTCTTTTCAAAGGTCATCTCTTCCTCCCAGCCCTCATGGTTTGACCCCTAACCACCACCCTCCCACCCCAGGCCCTCCATGCTCTTCTGCTTCCTCGGAGGAAGCAGGATGTGTCTGTTGTTCTGGCCACTTGGCCCCTCCAGGAATTCACCCACAGACACCACCTTCCCATCAGCCTCTGGAGTCCTAATCTGCTGAGCCAAACTTTCAGCCACCTGCAATCAAGACCTCATCCAGACCTGCGGGGATCTGCCAGTATTTCCATTTCAGCCTGTCCTGGATGACATCTATATTGCGAAGAAAGCACATGAAATTGGGTAAGAGCTCTTCCTAACTGCACTGAGGGGACCAGAGGGCTCAGGCCTCAATCCTGCACCTGCGCATTTCCAGGACGAAGGGGCTACACTTTGGTGGGGATGCCACTTTGTATATAGTCACCAGACCCTGGTCCCAAGGATCAAGGCTCCTAAGTGGAGATGGCCTTGTGTGATGTCTGTAGTACACTCTCAGTGCCTACCCACGTCCCTTCGCCCTATGTCATTTACTTCCAGCTGCCAGCATCCCAGTGTTTTTACCCAGTGACTTTCTGGTTATCTGGTTGCTGGATGAGTGCTTTTCATGAACTAACTTGTTTAGTCATCACAATTCTATACTTTGCTTGCACACATGGTAGGCCAGAAGGACCTAGAGTGAATGGCCCCTCCTCCCCCAGTAGACCTTCTGGTACTACTGATGCTAAATCCCCCAGCTCCTCACCTTTTGGTGCCCACAGGGGTAGACAGTCTCCTCGCTGACACACCCTTCATGGCCTTCCTTCTTTGCCTGTGTCACCTCCCACCTCCCTTGACAGTGCTTCCTGGGATCATTTCCCAGTAAATGTCTTGCATTCGAATCCTGAGTTGGGAGTCTGCTTGTGAGGAAACCCAAACTAAGACAGTATCTAACTGTTAACATTTATCAAGCACTTTCTCTGTGCCAAGCACCATGCTCAGCACTTCACATGTCCAGACTCATTTAATCCTACTACAGCCAGTGCTATGAGGCAGGGACCATTATCATCTCTGAGAGAGACAGGAGGAGAACACCCTCTTCTAAGGACTGTTGTCATTACATCAGGCCCATTTAGATAATCCAGGATAATCTCCCCATCTCAGTATCCTTAACTTAATCACATCTGCAAAGTCTCTTTGCCATAGAAAGGACGGTCACAGATTCCAGATGTGGACATCTTGAGGGGCTAGGGAGATGGTGTGTGAGGGCTCAAGCCTGGAGACTTCCTCTTGAATCTGCCTGGAAACCTCTTCTTGAACCAAGGTGGTTCAACTTCTAACTTGCTATATGACAAAGTGATTTAACCTCTCTGTGTTTCGAGGGCAGAGGGCAGAGGGCAGAGGGCAGGAGGTAAGCAAGCATAGCAGTTTGAAGAACCAAAGCAATTCAGGCTGGCCAGAGGATGGATTTATTTGGCTTCAAGCCACAACTCTGAATCCATTTCTGGGTCTGTAAAATGGAGATAACAGTCTGCCTCACGACACTGGCTGCAGCAGCGTGCCTGACAACTGTCATGAGGCCCTGGAGCTGACACCTGCCAGGGTACATCATCAAGCAGAGAGCAATTGCAACCCATCACAGGGATTCCTGGGACTGGCATCAAGGAGCAGGGCTCCGCCCCGTCTGAAAGGTCAGGGAACACTTCCTGAACAAGAGCTGCTTTGGCCCAGGCTAGGAGGGTAAGAGTTAACCGAGTGGAAAGGGAAAGGGAGGGTGCTGAACAGAAGGAGCAGTGAGTGCACAGGCTGGGAGGTGAGAGAAAGCTCAATTATTTGAGGAACTGAAGTGATTCAGTCTGGCCAGAGGACAGGAAGAAGAAATGATAGAAGCCATGTGCTGCAATGGTTAGGAGGACAGGCTCTGTGAGGGCTTGGGTGTGATGCTCAGCCTTGCCATCTCCCAGCTGTGCGATTTCGGCATGTAACTTGACCTCTCTGTGCCCCAGTTTCCTCACCTGCTTGATGGGGATAACACATGGTACTTATCTTACAGGGTTCTGTGAGGTTTAACTACATCTACAGCACTTGGAACAGTGTCTGACACAGAGGAAGGGCTCAGTAAATCTGTTATTTATGCCCCTCCCCCATATACCCCTCAATATCAACAGCTAAGCGGCTGGACGCAATCTTCACATGGGGCGTACATGCAGTTAGGGATGGCCAGTGCAAGGCCCACACCCCTCTGACTGTGAGATTGGATCAGGGTCACCAGAGCCAACTAGCATCAGCCCTGGACTTCTGCTGGAAATTCCGGGAAAGAGGAACATTCGCACTGGAAGGGTTGTTGAGGAAGTCATCCTGGAGTGGCTGGGGATGGGCCGGCCTGAGAAGGGGGCCTAGGGGAAGGCAGAGCCCTGGGTTGGGGGGGCATGGATCTGCACGGTGCCACCTAGGCCTCTGGATCCAGACATGCCTGAACCACCCCCTTGGATTGTCCGGTTACAGGGACAATCATTCCCTTTTCTGATTTAGAAGTTTTAGCTGGGTTTCTGTCGCTAGCAACCTGGGAGAGTTCTGACTGAGAGATGCGTGCTCAGTGAACACACACTGATTGAGTGATGGAGTGAGCATTGAGGGTTCTGGCACTTTCCTGAGCCCTTTGAGTTTGGGGCGACTGTGTGGCAAGCGCCCTGCTTCCTGTAGGACTGCAGAAACTTGCAGGGGTTTTTCACGTGACCTGGGAAAGCACCCTCTCCATTCCCTCCGTGCAGGGCCTGGCATCGTAGTCTGGGTTCCTTCCAAATAAGGATGAGGCTCTGCTCAGGGCGCGTGAGCACTGGCCCAGAAGCTGAATCCCAATTTTCCTCTCCCTGAGCCAAACCTCCCCTACCAGGGAAGATCTCAAGTTCCACTTAGAGAGAGGGAATGGAAAAAGGGGCCGAGGGCTAGAGTCCTAAGAACAGCCCAGGGGTAAGTGTGCCTTTATCAGTTCCATTTTACAGGAGAAGACACTGAGGCCAGAGAGGTTAAGTTACCTGTCCTCAAAGCTGGGGCCCACCAAACAGAACTCAGAACTCTTTTCTTGCCCCCAAACATTGCTTTTTCCTCCTTAGTCATTTTCCATCTGGTGTCTGCAATTTTTTTTCTCGCTTTTTTGCCCTCTGAAGTCCAGGTATTCAGATTCCTTATACTTACTTATTCCTTGCTCTTAGGTCATAAAGAAGAATGTCTGGCCAGATCTCGGTTTGTGTCTCTGCTCCACGCTGTGCAAGCTGTGTGTCCTTGGGCCAATGTCTTCACCTCTCTGGACCTTAGTTCCTTCAACCATGGCAGTAGAGATGGCAAAACCTATTCTCAGGCTTATTATGAGGACTAAGTGAGTTAATAGCTGTAAAATGCTTAAGACAGTAAGCCTCTCAAAAGTACTCAATAAACGGTAGCCTTTATCATTCATTTCCTTCAGAAATTATATTGTGTAGTATTTCTTGAAATGAAATAGAGGGAAATGTCCCCCAATTAAGGAAGTAAATAACACGACTTTGAAAACTGCAATTCTACCTGTCGTTTCTTTTTTTGTTTTTAAATGGTGAAGTCTTTATCCATGTTGTCAGAAGAACAGTGGCAGTGGCGTGGTGGGGGAGATGCGGGCGTACAGGGCTGGTGCTCTCTGCTTTCACTGTGGCAAGTGAGCTAGTATCATGTCAACCCTCCCACTGAGAGCACCTAGAAATGGCCCAGAAAAATGAGCCTGAAATCGGGAATAGCTTTTTTCTCTTAAGGTGTGTGTGTACTGACTGGGGCAGCCGACGGGCTGAGACACTGGCAGAGCTTTGGGAGAATGAAAATTGGGGTGTCGGACCATGGCGGTGGTTCCAGGCTTGACGCTGGACTCTAATAACCGTGATTCACACGTTCAGGAAATTAGATAACAAGAGCTGCAGCAGAAAACTGGAAACCATAAAAAAGAATCAAATAGAAGTTCCAGAACTGAAAAATACAATACTGACATTAAGATTTGCAGCTGTTAAGAGCACAGACTCTGAGCCACTGGCCAGGTTTAGGTCCTGGCCCCAGCCTTTACTATGTGCCATGCCAGACCTTGTTCCTTTTTCATTGAGGTGAAATTCACACGACATACAATGAACCACTTTACAGCGTACAGTTCAGTGGTATTTAATACATTCGCCATGTACAAAAAACATTTCTCTCCAATTTCAAAATTTTTTCAGCACATCACAAAGCTACTCAGACCTATTAAGTCCTTACCCCTTTCCTCCTTCCTAGGTCTGGCTTCTTTCACTTAGCACATCTTCGAGGTTCATCCATGTTGTAGCATGTGTCAGTGTTTTGTTCATTTTAATGGCTGAATGATATTCCACTGTATGAATGTACCACATTTTGTTTATCCATTCATATACGGATGGACATTTGCGTTGTTTCTGCTTTTGGCTAGTATGAATAATATTGTAGAAACATTTGTATGCACATTTCTGTGTGTACATATGTTTTTATTTCTCTTGGGTATGTACCTAGATGTGGAATAAGTCCTTGTTTCTTACTTCTTGTGGCAGTTTCCTTGTCTATAAAATGGGGCTGGTGGTAGTACTTAACACAGAGTTATGTGAGACAGTGGAAAGTGCTTAGCTTGATATGGTTGCTGTAGATTAGCATTGTGACCCAAGTTGGTTGTAAGTATCTGCTGACATGTCTTTCTGCCCAGCTAGGCCACAGGTTCC